AAAAAAAAAAAACGCAACTTGTCCGTGTTGGTGTTTTACTGAGCAATCGGTGACATATGCAATGCTATCTATGTATATATCTATATGTACTTTTCTCTTTGTCTTATTCGTGCTTTTTATTCGAATCATTCCAGTTCTGCTAAAGACGCACAGCCAACTAAGCCGGATTCGTCATATAGAAAATGGTTTGTGTTGATGTCTGGATTTTTTATCATGTTTTTGTGCACTGGATTTCCCTTCAATATGTCTGTCCTTAACCCTGAGCTCCTTCGCACATTTGAGAAAAGTAAGGCGGAAACAGCTTTGGTACAGTCGATAACGATCGGGGTGCTATATATAGCAGGTAAGCTGGTACATGTGTATGAATGTAAATATTTCGCAATAGACTTTATTTAACACTTTTAGAAATAATCATTGAAAGATAATTTAAACATATTATTAATTTCAAGCTTACGGAATGGAATAGCATGTGTTTAGTATATGACCTTTCAGCCTCTTTACCAGTCAACTCGCCCTAAAATATCTGAAATAAGCCGCATCTTATCATTATTTTCAGTAACGAGTCTAAGGTTGGTTTCTAAACAATCCTTCTTTCATGGCAGTCATAAAAGCAAGAAACCAGCAGTTGCGTATTTTCTAAATGTACGTGTAAAACCTTTTTAGACCGACACGGAAAATGAGATTCCTAGAATGAAATGTTTATTTTTACAGTCAACTTACAGTCTGTTAAATGCAACAAATCTGAGGTTTATTTTCAAGCTCGGTCTTTTTTTCCAAGTCAATTTTCGAGATTTTAGGGTGCCTTACCGACATATCAATTTAATTGTATTCTTTACTAAAAGAAAAATATATTCATACATTTAATACATACAGGAGCCTTGTGCGGGAGGATTGTTTCCAAATATGGAGCTAGAGTGACAGGGATAACCGGAAGCATAGTTACGACGCTCGGTCTGGTTGTCTCTTTCTTTGCCGAAAGTATTCCTCATCTCATTGTTACCCTTGGATTAGTTTCAGGTACGACTGAAAGACTTTAACTTCCATATTAAACTTTAAATGGGATGAAAAATATCAATATCATCTGTAAACAAG